TACAGCCCCTAAAACTCTATGGAGCAGTTCTGTTCTATACGGTTGTTATAAGTTGGAAGTGACTTGACAGGCATAGCTAGGTATATTCTAATAAGTTATAATTAGCAATGTCTTCTTGTTCCCAACAATTTCATATACATGATCACATTTCAGTTGTAAATTTGGTAGAAGTATCAAACAAGTAGCCCAAAAGATCAGGGTACTCGCACACAGTGGAACACAAAATTCTGGAAATACTGGGATTAGAATCCTGGTAGTTCTGTCTCCTGGAGCAGAGCTTCAAGTTTTGAAAAGGCAACCAAACTTCAGACATGGTCAAGGCAGATCCAATGAGAAAGCCAGGAAGAGAAAAGGGCGAAAAGCCTAAGAAACCATAAATCACATCAAACTGTAGAATATTTTCAAGTCAGGGTGAAAATGGTTCCTCCCCCAATTTGCGAGAAATAATTAACAAGATAACTACTGTGTCTCACGCCTTTTCTTCTGTTCTCCATGCTAAAGTGTTCTCAGCTCTATGTTCACTCAAGACATCACCCCCATGCCCACTGTCCTCTAGGTCCACCAGACAAGCTGCACTGGTCATCTCCAACTCTCAGCAACCCCATGTCTGGCAGGGTAGAACTGTGCCCCACAGGGTTTTCAAAGGTTGATTGTTTTCCAACGTAGAAAACCAGGCCTGTCTCCTGAAGTTAAGTCCAGTTGGCTCAAGCCTTCAAACTTTCAGCAGTCAAATGATTTAAATGCTTGTATCACACAAGGACCCCAGACTACCAAATCCAAAGCTAAACCCACTAGACCTACTGGACCCCCAAAACAAACCCCTAGACCTACCCTACCAAACCAAAACTAAAAAACGATTGAGTCTGTTCTGACTCATAGAGATCCTATAGATCAGAATCCATCTGCCCCATAGGATTTCCAAGGGTGTAAACCTTTTCAGAAGCAATTGTCACACCCTCTGCCCTTAGAGAAGTTGATTCAACTGCCAGTCTTTGAGTTAGCAGTGAGTGCTGTAACCATTTTAACACCACACCACCCAGAACTAAACACAGATCATTTTGACTGACTACTGCAGCTAAGGTCTCCTTTGAACGGAGCCATCCTTCCCATAGCACCTCCAATTGTGTTC